TAGCAACATTTAGGGTTAAAGGTAATTACTGTAAACTAAAACTTTACTGGATTTGTGCCTCATGTGTTTTTTTCTTTCCCTGTATGTTTTATTTCAGAAAACATGTGCACGGTGGTCTACTTTGACGACTGCGTGTCTATCCGTCAGTGTAAACTATACTGTGAGTCAATGGGAGGATCCAAGTACCGCTGGTTTCACAACGCCTGTTGCCAGTGCATCGGACCGGAGTGCGTGGACTACGGCAGCAAGGCTGTGAAGTGCATGAACTGTCTCTTCTGAAGTGTTGGCACATCTTGGTACCAAATGTGTGGGCCATACCAGAGGACTGAGGGCAGAGGAAACTATGACTGTTATGTGTTAGCATTCCTCCGTTACCTTGTAAAATACCCCTTTCACCCCCTCCTGCAAACCCTGCGAAAGTGTTTTTATTCTGCTGTTATGTTTCACTGTATATTTTTAGATATGTTTTCAATAGTGTTTTTTACTAGAGGTGTATATGAATAACGTATTTTTACAATTATGGTCTGCTAAATCCCAGTCTCGTGCCAAATAAAGAAACGTTTGGTGACATGGATCTGTTTTGTGTCACAGAGGTAGCTGATCTTAGAATATCTTCTTCCTTTCAGTATATTTGCTTTAAAAGAGGTGAAAACAAAAAATGCATAGCATGAGTGGAATAGTAAATGTTTGTCCTCCCTAGTTGCATGTCTCCGGCTCTAATCTTAGCCTAGTGTTGCCCGAGTCAGGAAACGCATCATTTCCTGGGGAAACAAAGTTGTTATTATACCATTCTGCTCCACAGGTGTTCAGCTGCTCACAGACCGTCGCATGCAAGCGGAGGAGAAAGGGAGCGTTTACCGATGCCAATCCCACACACACAAATGCTCTTTGTGATGCCCGTGCATTCTCAAAAGGCAGCAGGGTGCCCTATCACTGATTCTGTTCCCAATTGGCATTCAACTGCAGTTTGCACGGACCAATGTACCGGCCGCACAATGAGACCTTGTTTGCCTTTTTTTTATGATATTGAATCACGACCTCATTTTGCCATTGCAGCTGTGGGTTTGGAGCAGATGGTGCCAACAAAGATCAGAGCACTAATGTGTTTCATGTGTCCGGATGACCACCAGGGTACAGAGTGTAACCGCAGAGTTTGGGAAAGTACACATGATTCAGAATAGCACGTGGTTTCACCAAATTTAGATGATGGCTTCTTTTCAAAACATTGTTTGACAGTTTCTCTTGTACGCAGGCTTGTATAACATCACACTTGTGGTTAAGATCAAAATGAGACCACAGCCTAAACATTCTTCATTAATTCCAGATTATTCTGGGTTAAGGAAACCTACATAGACTATACATTTGTGGCGAGAGAACCAAGGTAGGTCAGGAAAGTCGCATGAAGGCAGGATATTATGTATGAAATGTTTCAATTTTCACTCACTTACTACTGTAAAACAACAGTTAACTGACATACAAATACAGTTTAGCAAAGCAGAGGTTAAAACTATCAAAACTTAAAATAATGACACCTTAGCGAAACAGGAAAACATCTTTCCAGTATTCAAAAGCATCTAAAAGAGAAATGATCTGAAAGTAGGAAACGCAGGATTAAACCAAACAAGATTACTAATAGGCTTTAGCAGGTATGACAACAAATAAGGTTATTAATGTCAGGATACATTCATGAAAAAAAGCATTATTACACTGGAGAACATTATAGTACAAAATAAATATACAATCTTCTTATAATTTCTTTAAAGCAACAGATATGATTGAGAGAAATGTATTTTGTTCTTGTGTAATTTATCCTTTTTTTATTCTATTTTTTGCGAATTCCAATGCTCCACATATAGTCCAATAGGTGGCGTTGATGCACTAAATCGTTGGTTGCCGACCACCAATAAACCCTAAAAAGGAAGAAAGCAAACGTACCCTTTCGAACTACACCACCCATCATGCATTCCGGCTTTCGCGCAAGCGCAGATGGGTTTATTTAGAATACAGACAAGCGGAAGCTCCACTCTGAAACTGACCGAACGGGATAGTTTTTGGTAAAGTTTCTTGTCTTTTGTGTTTTGCGTGTTTAATGACAGTACAGCGGTTACGAAATACAGTTAAGCTAATGTAGTTTACTTTTGATCTTATGTTGGTTTTGTCTGATGGAAACAGCGGCTTTAATCGTGACGTACAGCTTGGCTAATGAGCTAGCTTAGCAGGTTAGCTGAACTGACGTTAGCATGATGGGCCCCTCCATTCAGAGGAGAGCTTCTACTTTCTTAATGTTATTTATGTCAATTTACCTTTATACATCACTGCAGGGATTAAACTGCGTATTTTAACAGCAAGGTGGTGATATGTGAGTGGTTGTGTTAACATAAGTGTTATATAAACAGGACAGGATAAGAAATAGTGAGGATAATCTGCCCAAAGCGAATGCATATTAAGATGTCAGGCAGACTTAATAAACAGCTGGGTGTCCAGAGTTCAATTAAGTCAGTGTTAGGAAACAAATAGGTGTTAATTTACATCATTTATCACCTGTGTCTTTTAGGTAGTGCAGCGATTTTCTTGAAGCCACCACACTAACCACTTAAATGTATGTTATTGTTTTGTATTGATATGTAAGATGATATCTTCCATTTACTGTCAGTGATTAGCAAAGTAAATGAAGCTTCTTTTTTATAAACACACCACACCCTTTGCAGTGATTACGTAAATGAATATTCTTCCTACAACATGTACACACTGACAGCTGAGCCTTTTTTATCATTGCAAAGTATTCAACGAAATGGTGGTGTTAGTCCTGATCAGGAGAGTTAAAAGACGCAAGAAAACACCACTATATAAGCCAAAGAACTACAGCAGAAAAGCAGCTACAACAGTTTTTAAAATACATTAAATATATACCTTGTAATTTGCACTAGAATAAGATTACATTACATCAGAATACATGTAATTATTTCACTAGTATGCATGCAATCATTGTCCTGGAATGGATTATAATATTAGAGTAGTTTTGAGTTAGCTGACAACATTTAGGTTGTTAGAATTTACTGAATGAGAAGTCGAATTGTCCAGAAGTGATGGAAATGTATATGGCAGAGCACCATCTGGTGGGTAGACATTATTGTTGCATTTTATCTGTTCATACAGTCAAAACTAGAAGAAGCAGGAATGGACTATATATTTATTTATCACAGTTTTAACTCTACAATGTTACAAGTTTTTCAATGTGTTTAATTGCTTCACAACGCCATTGTCCTCCTGATCTAACTTAGGATTCAATATTTTCTTTTTGAAGCCCACACTCTATTTGATGAGGCACACACCGCTGAGAACATGTGTGGATTTTCGTTTAAATATTCTTCTTATTATTGTAATTTACATTTGTGGTGCTATAATGTCCTCTTATACAGTTATAAGCCACTTCGGTTGTGCTAAACAGATTCATAATAGGGCCAGAGTAACTGTTTAATGTATTAATTTAAATGTATCTATTGTTTAACCCTTTTTTAATTCAATTTCAATTCAATTGATTAATCACATCTTTATGGAAAATACTACCTTAAGGCTGTTTCTTAACGTTCAGTTCATTATATAGTTTGTATGTTCAATTATAATCTTTATTACAACACGTCCACACAAAAGGAAATGTACAAAAACTAAAATATATAAAAACGTACAGACCCGCCCACTATCTCTCTCATATCTAAGAGTCAGATAGCATGTTAACAACAAGCGGGAGGAAGGTTTAAAGTATATTTACGCAAACTGAACCCGGATCATTTGAGAAGTCGAATGAAGGGTGTTAGAAAAATATCACTCGTCATCGGCTTGAGCTTCAATAATCAGGAGACATAATAATAATAATAATAATAGCTTGCATTTATATAGCGCCTTTCAAGGGACCCAAGGTCGCTTTACAAGTATTTATTATCCTCTCAAGAATGGAAGTAGTCATCACATACAGATCATTTGATACAACTAGTTCCTGAACAGTGTCCTTCACATGCTGATATACAAGAGAGGGTGTTACACAGTCACAAGATGGAGGAATACCGGTTCAAAGCAGTATTCAATGTTTAGTTTAGATTAGCTCCACGTCAGAAATGATCATGCTTGTCACATGTCTATCTCCATAGAGGCTGAATCATCATGTTAATCACATAGCTATCGTATGCCTAAAACAGTCCTGATGCTCTTCCAGGTAATCATACATCCGGTTACATACACAGCTACTTAGGGCCTTTGTTATCATGTGTACTCTGATATTGAAAGAGTACATTCAGTATTTCCCCAACATATCTAAGAGTCAGATGGCATGTTAACAACAAGCGGGAGGAATGTATAAAGTATGTGTACGCAAACTGAACCCAGGTCATTTGAGAAGTCGAATGCAGGGTTGTTTTATTATAATCTCTTGTCCCACCCCCTGCAGGTGTGATGGAGAGGTGATGTTCCGGTCGGAGGAGTGATTTGGCCCCAGCAGCCATGACTGAGTGCTTCCTGCCCCCCAGCAGCAGCAGCCCTGGAGAGCAGCGCCGGGCGGAGCACCCTGGGGGCGTGGCGCGCACCCCCAGCTCCGAGGAGATCAGTCCCACCAAGTTCCCCGGGCTGTACCGCACCGGAGAACCCTCGCCGCCGCACGATGGACATCACCACGAGGCCCCGGACGCCTACGTCTCAGACGACGACAAAGAGCACAGCAAGAAGAAGAACAAGTTCAAGAAGAAGGAGAAGAGAAGTAAGATCTTGTCATTTCAGCTTGAGGGTTTATTATGGACACTTTCACTTACTGACAAATGTTGCAAGCCATTCTTAAATCTTTGTCAAAGCTTAGAGAAAGGGCTGAAAGCTCAGGGAAGAATTTACTAAGTGACTTTGTGATACAAGTCTGGGTCATCTAATCCTACTATTTATTTGGACTTATTCATACTTTTTTATAATGAACATAACAAAATAGAATAAAATGTATATTGGGTGTACAAAATGTTTGAAATAGCAAGAATTAACTAAGTAAATGGCAATCTAGGATATATTGATGTTATGTTGATCTGCCCATCACTAAATGCTTGTAAATGCATTTTCACACTGTTAATTAGAGTGTATTAACACCTTAACTATGATTAATAACCTTATACTTCTGAAATAGTATTTAGCCAACCTTGCATGCAAAAGATATACGAGTCGGTATACGTATCGCATGCAAATGAATACTTATGGATTGATGGGCGGTGTGTGGTGCAGTGGGTTGTTCGTTGGCGTTCGGATCAGGGGGTCACAGGTTCAAACCCCACTGCAGTCAGCATGTCGTTGTGTCCCTGGGCAAGACACTTCACCCCAAATTGCTCCTGTGGGGATTGCCCACAGTCCTCCATTGCAATCTTTAACAAAGCTTTCACATGAGCAAAATCAGTTAAGTGTTTGTAAATGTGTTTGTAGTATTTTGTGGTATACAGGAAATAGTTATTTTATAGGATTTGTTGACATTCACATTCCCTATCCTATCCCATTTGGGAGCTAACAAGTACATACAGTACAGGTCATCTACTTCAGGTCACTTGGCTTTAGAGTAGCTGAGAATGAAAACTATTGTAATGTTGTGGAAGGTCATCGCAGTTCCACTTTTCCATCCGTTGGCTGTAGCTGTCTGTAGCTCTGACAAATGTTCCTTTACTGAGAAATGTTTTTTACTGAGTCAGGCTCATTGTCCACGGTCCAGTATCAGGATATTTCCATGTCTGTATTTAGCTCTATCACCAGGATGTGGTGGGAGAGAGGAAGAGTTCAGAGCACACCCACAGAGACTAGTGAAGGTGTGTTTTGGGCAGCGATCTGAAACAAAGGGAACCACAGTAGAGAAAACAAGAAGAGACAAAGAGGGCACTAACCGTCTCTGCCTGTGGTGAAGCTGTCAGGAAAAAGGTTTTACCTGAACTCGTTCTTGAGGGCTGTCGGAGGAATTCTTCTAACACATTGAGAGTCGCGAGTCTTCTCAAGGATTACAGACTTTGAGTGAGTGATTCAATATCTTACCTTAATGCAGCATGGAGACCCAAACAGTTTTTCGCTGAAGGACTCTTGCCTTTTAAATCATCAATTAAACAATGCTGACCTCATAACAAGGGTGAGTCAATCAATCATTGCCTTTTCATTTGACCTCTCAACTGGCTCTCATATGACTTTCCTACAACACACAGTGAATCACATTTAATTACATTAAAAACATCAAAACATGAACTTATATAACTCAAATGTTCATTTCCACATTGATGAGGCAAAAGGTGCTGTGGGAGCTATGCTAAATCTGTGGCTGACCTCTTTTCCAAGTCCCCGTTCTCCCCCTCCTTTGCTATCTTCTCTCTCTCACTCGTCTCCCTTCCTGTTTCTGTTTCACTGCTATCATGGTTCTGCCGTAGGAGGAGGATAAGAAAACGGGGGTGTTTCTCCCCTCAGATCTAACCCTATTTTTGTTTCTTCCCACTCTTTCTTTACTCTCTTAGCGGAGGGCTACGCCGCCTTCCAGGAGGACAGTTCGGCCGACGAAGCGGAGAGCCCGTCCAAGATGAAGCGCTCCAAGGGAATCCATGTGTTCAAGAAACCCAGCTTCTCCAAGAAGAAGGAGAAGGAGTTCAAGGTGAAGGAGAAGGAAAAGGAGAAGGAGAAAGAGAAGGAGAAGGAAAAGGAGAAAGAAAAGGAAAAGGAAAAGGCGCCGAAGGAAGACAAAGCCGCCAAAGATAAGAAATCAAAGGATCTGACGGCAGCCGACGTGGTTAAACAATGGAAGGAGAAGAAGAAGAAGAAGAAACCAACAACAGAGGCAGAGCCCGTCCCGGTGGAGGTCCCCACCTTCAGGCCCATCTTTGGAGCGCCTCTCACTGAAGCCGTGAAGAGGACGGCTCTGTACGACGGCCTCCATCTGCCCGCCGTCTTCAGAGAGTGTGTGGACTATATCGAGAGTTACGGCATGAAGTGTGAAGGCATCTACCGAGTTTCAGGTAAACACCCTTTGAGATGTGGATTTTTCTATCGCGTTGCAAAAAGGGATAAGTCAGGGATTTAAATCCTACGCTGCTACGAATTTGATTCCAGAGGGAGCATTTAAGAAATCAGTGCAGAACCCAAGGGGGGAAAAGTGAGAAGTGAGAAGTGTGTCAGTATGTAGAATTACTAATAATGCCACCAGGCGAGAAGCAGCTTAATTGTACATCAATACAATCAACTCAACATAATCCCTAAATATAATTGATGATGTGTTAAACCATATTCTCGGCACTGCATGTGCTACGTATTTATTTCCTTGTTGACTTCTTGAAATGTAAACGGGGACAGTCAATGAACCAAAGGCAAATTATCATGTAGGTTCACTAACTATGAAACATTTAAGAATTGTTATTTTTTTGTATTTTTACTAATAAATTCAAACCAATGTACAATGTAAGTAAGTTATGAAGATCATTGACTATTTAAACTTAAAACTGGGTCAAGCTTTGCAAAAAAAGTTGTATTCAGTTTGATTTAATAGATTAAAGACTGCACTGAAATGAGGTTAAGACAAACTACAAAAAAAGCTCTTCAAAAGCATCTTTCCTTAAAACACTAACGGTCTTGAGTACTTAAATAAAGTTTAGGTTAAATCCCCACTTCACTGGTGCAGTAAAGAACAGCAGGAGAGATACAAAGGCTGTAACTCCACATTTAACACGTGCTTTAAAACCCCAAAACTACATAATGTTTTGCTTTAATCCCCGATTACTAACATACCTCAACATTGGACTGAATCTCACATCAACCTCTCTCGCTCTCAGGTATGAAGTCCAAGGTGGATGAGTTGAAAGCAGCGTACGACCGGGAGGAGTGCCCCTGCCTGGAGGAGTACGACCCGCACACGGTGGCCAGCCTCCTGAAGCAGTACCTGCGCGAGCTGCCGGAGAACCTGTTGGGTCGGGACCTGGCGCAGCGCTTCGAGGACGCCTGCGGTCGGCAGGTGGAGGCCGAGAAGATGGCGGAGTTTCACAGGCTGCTGGCCGAAGTGTCGCCGGAGAGCCGACTTCTCCTCTCCTGGCTCGTCACGCACATGGACCACGTCATCACCCGGGAGCTGGACACCAAGATGAATATTCAGAACATCTCCATCGTCCTCAACCCAACCATACAGGTCAGAGAGGATGCATAGATCACGCTGAGTAAAAGGAGATTAAGGGGAGAAGCACACAAATGTTGCAGAAAGCAGAAATTCAACAGCAACAGGCAAACTAACCATCAAAATGAAAAGTAGATCATGCTCAAGTGTACTTCCAGGATAAGAAACATCCCCTTAGCAACTAACCAACTGAGCTTTTATTGGATCAAACAGCCGGTTCATCTTTAAAACGCTGGCCTAGTTTAGTGAGTCTGATTTATTCCCACAGGGGATACTCTGTGGCTGCTCCACTTATTCTGAACTAACAGCAGCAGGAGCAACTCCACTGTTAAATAAACACTTCTCTTAATGAATTAGTCCGGGATCAATTACATCTGTCAATATGCAGGAATGCGTGTGGTAGAGAATATATATATTTAGTTTTACTGCAGTCTGACAAACATCATACAAACCACATTACACACTGCAAGACTAAATGCTGTGTGTGTACAGAGTGTGTGCCAGGTGTTTACTTATTTGTTTACCTTGCGTTCAGATCGGGAACCGTGTTCTCTACATGTTCTTCACACACGTGAGGGAGCTGTTTGGAGACGTGGTCCTGAAGCCGGTGGTGCGGCCGCTCCGCTGGTCCAACATGGCCACCATGCCGGCGCTGCCCGAGACCCAGGAGAGCGTCAAGGAGGAGATCCGACGCCAGGTGAGCTCAGGCTCTCTGCAGCCAAATGGTTCAAACATATTTGTAGGTCCGTCTAATCCAAAAATGTATATATCCGCAAGTAGCAATAAGCTTGACTCCAACAAAAATACGTCTCAGGAAAGAGACTTATTTACAAAAGATATCAGTACAAACACATATTTTCAAAAAACTATATTGCACCGTGATTCTTTTCTCCTTCTCGTTCTAATTACAAGCAGCTGCTGTCGGCTGTGACGTCAATTTCACAACGGCTGGTTTAAATAAATGATATAATAATACTAATAACAAAGAATTATTATATGTATATATATATATATATATATATATATATATATATATATATATATATATATATACACATAATATATCAAATCATACATTTTAACATATGGCTCCTACAATATGAATCAGTGATGGATACCACTCTCTATCTGATTAGAATGAAACTGGAGCCAGAGACTGGACAGGAAACAGTCGTCACATAACCTTCATTATTCCTCAACGTTTTTACACTGTGTTTTTATTGTGATTCGAATATGTTTTTAAGTATTTGTTTGGATAAAACAAACTTTTTAAGAACATCAATTTGTGCGTTGAGAAGCTGCAACTTGCCTAAAGAGTCCTTAAGCATCACACTATATTTAGAGATTAAAGTCCGACACAGTAGATGCAAAGCAATGCAGCGGGAATTTAGCAAAGTAAGCTGCTTCTGTTGCAGTGCTTTGTCTTTGCCTCTGTTACCAGGATTTTATATTTTGTCTCCATGTGCCAGAAGTTCCTGTCCTTTAATATATATATATATGCCAGATCATGCAAAATAAACAAAAAGTGGAGATGCATAACCTGCTGCTACCATCTTGAACTTTACATGAGGGATTTTGTGAAAGGCAGTCCTAAAAACAAACTCAATCTGTATCCTTATTTGATTTCCTTCTAGTGAATGTCTGCCTTTAAATAATGCATGGGAAAAGACATGCATCTTGAAAGGTCACCTATTATGCGAAAAAAAGATTCTCTCTTTTTGTCCTGATCCATTTATATAAAAACCTGTCTGAAAATGAGCTGATCAGATTTTGGCCACTTTATGATGTCATAACGATTTTCTGGCTTGTGTAACCATTAGCCAATCACCAACCAAGGTAACCCCCCCCCACCTTATCACCTGAATCTCCTCCTAGAGCACCATTGTGTTCTTTTTAACCAAATATCTCTCAGAGGGGCGTGGGGAGGGGCTCCTTATTTTCATCTAAAGTAACAGACACAGAATCAGCTCTTTTGAAACAGGGCTGAAACAGAGGGGATTATGGGATGCTGCAATGATCTGTTTGGTATTTGGAGCCAAACACTTCAGAGACATGTTTGTATATATCTGAGACCTGTAATATATTGTTGAAAAACAGCATAATAGGGGACCTTTAAGGTTTGTGCATAGACGTTGACGTCAGTTTAAATTCAGTTTGCCAGCTATTGCTGTAATTAAGACCATTTCGCTTTTTTTATTGCGATCATTTTAAGTTGCTCTGGAGTGACAACTGAATATATATATGTTTGTGATTCAGGAGTTCCTGCTGAACTGCCTGCACAGGGACCTGCAGGCGGGGGTGAAGGACTTGTCCAAAGAGGAGCGGCTCTGGGAGGTGCAGAGAATCCTGACTGCTCTGAAACGCAAACTGAGGGAGGCCAAACGCCAGGTTGGTTCTGCATACAATATTTGTGTATATATATATTTGTTTTTATTTCAATAGGTGATAAAACATACCAATATATGGAGAGTGGCGCTGTCAAGATATGAGATTCTGACTACACAATTGTTACAATATCTTTAGAAAATTCGAGAAAAAACTAAAATCAGTCCATTTCATCTTTATTTGGTTCTTTTGTTTCCTTTTTTGGTAAAAGTTAGTGAGAGATCCATATCTGTTCAAGAGTGTACAAAAATAACTATTACAATTAAAGGAGCATTATTAACATGATATCAATATTTACATTTTTCAAATATCAAAACTACTGTCAACACCTGTATTACTTTAGATCACTGCACTTATTTACATTTCCGTGCTTGAACTGTATGTGAATACACATAAAGCACACAGATAAACATCTGGCCATATAATGCAATTTAGTACAACAATACTATAGAGAGGCGAAGTCCCTCCCTTTCCGGTCGACCTCCATGGGACCTTATTTCAGAAAAAGTATGTATTGAAGTCAATGGGGAGAGAAAGATTATCTTTGGATCCCGTTTGAATTGTGCCACGAATTACACATATGATGTTTGTCAATTTAAAAGATAATTTTGCAAGTTAAAAAAATTCAAATGTGTCGTAAAACTGTGAAGTAACACTTTTGTTTGTGTGAAACCGCTCAATGAACTACATCTCCCGTCTCGCACCACACACCAAGACGGCCGTCACGTTGGCACATTTCACTTCTTTCTTTCAGAATGAGGCGGAAAGTATTAAAAGAGGTGAAAATCACTCCAAGTCTGGGCATGTTGAGAGCTGTACATACACACAAGGGGAGTGAGTCGGTTCCGTAAGAGCCAGCATGCGGGACCGGGATTCTGGGATTTGTAGTCTTTCTAGTTGCGTATTTTTCATAGTCTTATATTTCAACAGTTTTACGACAAACTGTGACTTTTTTGACATGGAAATGATTTTTTAAGATTGACAAACATCATATGTGTAATTCGTGGCACAATTCAAAGATAATCTTTCTCTCCCCATTGACTTCAATACATACTTTTTAAGTAGATGGGCGGGACTTCGCCTCTCTATAGACATTAATCAATGTCCCTCTGATAAAAGTTTGAACATTGCAAGGTTCACAAGGAAAAAATCAAAGTTTGAACATAGTGCTTTATTTCATTATCTTTCCTCCTTTTGAATTGTAGGAGTGTGAGACTAAGATCGCCCAGGAGATAGCAAGCCTCTCAAAGGAAGATGTTTCAAAAGAGGAAATGACCGAGAATGAGGAGGAAGTCATCAACCTCCTCTTAGCACAGGTGAGTCAACAAAACACACGAAAAACTCAAGCAAATAAATGCCACAATGTGTCTAATAAAAAAATCAATTGTTTTATAAATTATCCAATTCAAATTGTATCTACAGTTCAATTTGCTCTTAGCTCCAAGTAAGCCAACCTGAGATGGAATCATGTTGTGTTTTCCTCTGAATAATCAGGAAAACGAGATCCTGACGGAGCAGGAGGAGCTGATCTCTCTGGAGCAGGTGCTGCGCAGACAGATTGCCACGGAGAAGGAGGAAATCGAGAGACTGCGGGCAGAGATTGCAGACATACAGAGGTGAGGAAAGACTGTTTGGACGCTTAATATATTTAAAATTATACTAAAGTTCTGAATTATAACCCAGCGTTGTGTTCCTCAGTCGGCAGCAGGGGCGCAGTGAGACAGAGGAGTATTCGTCGGACAGTGAAAGCGAGAGTGAAGATGAGGAAGAGCTGCAGATGATCCTGGAAGACCTGCAGAAGCAAAACGAGGAACTGGAGGTGAGCAAAACGTAACGTGCTGATTAGTGGACAAAATGAAGTATATTAAAAAATGTTAAAGGCAAAATGTATCAAAATACCTTTTTTTTTAAATAAAAGTATTGTTGTGCTGCATAAACGTCTTGGGTCAAATTTAAGTTATCAAATCTCTTTCAAAATTGTGCAGCCCTATCGTATATTGTCTGTTATAGTCCATTAATTATCTTAACAATTGTGGCAAGTATGTCAAGTTCTGATTATAGTCCACATAAACACTCAGAATATTAGTCTTGGTCTATATAATTATATTTTTAGTCTGAGAATTTCCCACATGGTGTTGTTTCTGAGGATGTTGTTTGAAAATATGGACCTGAGCATTATAAAACAAACATGATAGTTGACTTGCTTTGTGTTATTTCCTTGTAGAACAAAAACACTCACCTGAACCAGGCCATCCACGAGGAGCAGGAAGCCATCTTGGAGCTCCGCGTGCAGCTCCGCCTGATGCAGAGCCACAAGCTGCAGCAGGAGCTGACCGTCCAGCCGCCGGCAGAGCAACCCCCGCCCGCTCAGCCCAGCCCAGAGCCCCGCGCAGAGGAGCAAACCAAGCGCTCCGTTGTTGCCGTTGTCGCTGGCGCAGAAGTTGCTGCCTCAGCCAATGGCAAAGCAGCAGCTAAGGATCCTTCAAAACCCTCACCGAACAAAGACAGGAGGGACACCAACATGTGAGACGTGTTGGTGCTGCTGTACGTCTCTGGTCAGTTGTCCTGTAGAGTCACTGGAGTCTCACTTTGCTGGAGTTCATCAGTAATAGTGTCCACCAAGTGGCTGGTATGTCTAAGGCGTCCTGACTCTTTAAGCAGAAATCACACAACTTGTTTTCCCTTTTTTTCCCATGCAAACACAAATGATAATAATACAAATTAGTCGACAAGTGGCTTCTATTGCGAAAGACCAGGTGGAGCGAATCAAATCCACAGTGCCAAGCCTGTATGAAGAAAGGAGAAATGAAGGGATTCATAAGTAAGGTAGGGGAAGGAAGAAAGTCAGGCACCTTGCCAGTATCAGACATAACATTTATTCTTTCCTGGTACGGTCTCATGAAACAAACATAGACCATACCATAGTCCCTGTATCTCACTATGTCCCTCACCTTAATGCAAATTAGACATTAGGAGCGAGACCACTGTGCCATAACCGAAGATGCCAGAGAACCACTAATACAAAAGCTCTTTGAATAATGAAGAATTTATGATTGGTCTGTCTATATATTATATATTTAAGTAGTATTCTGAAGAATACGATGACTATTCGGAAAATGCATTGATTTTAAGTTACAGCTTTTTTTTAGTAATATATGAATATGTAAAGATATATCGTAGGTGCTTTCTTTTCTTTGAACGGTAGATGCACATAAGCACAGTGGCGTTGTACCTCGCAACTGACCAGTGGATGAAAACTATTAATGGCAAACAATCGCGCAACTAAAAGATAAATCATCACTGGAAAATGTAGACAAACAGCTGGAGGCCGCATTGTTACAGTCACACTTTGCGGTGGTGCGCAATCATCTTCTCTGCCTCACTTGCACAAACAAGGTTTAATAATGAAACATCAAATCTGTAGTGATGATTATTGTCGCCAAAATGTGTGCAGAGACACGGAGGCTTGTCTAGTTTTGTTCATTATTTGTTCATGTTTTTTTTTTACTTGATGTTCTGAGTTATTGTTCATGGCATCAGTTGGAAGTGAGTAAAACAAACCCTCAAGATTACAAGTCAATCAATTCATTTCACAACTGATCCATGACTCGCAAAGTACTGTCATTGATTCAGTGATATTTAAAGCAAAGGCATGACCTGACTAACTTACCGTTTGTGTATATCATTGTAAGATTGCAAACATACTGTATTTTCAGCTCTTGTGTTTTGTCATATGTTATTTTTCTCGTTATTAATTACCTGTATGGAGTATGCTAGTGTGAATGCCCCTGCTTTGGTTGCGGGTAAATCAAGCAATCTCATCTGGACTCATGATTCTACGTGTTATTAATCCTGTGACTGAAACAAATACATGCTAGTTTGGGCTCAGAAGCTTCTCATGAGGTTATTTTCATATTGTTCCAAGCTTTTTGTAGCTTATTGTTGCAGACAAAATAATGCTGTGAAGAATAAAATGTCGATCTAATAAATGTACTGCAAATTTGTCTCCTTCTCTGACACCCTAAGAAGTGTAGTCTATATTTAGTGCTTCCTATTTTCCATTACACATACTCCAAATACTTATGTCCCCTCCCAACCTGAGGAGGTTTTACATAAAACATTTGCAAAACATTTGCATCCTTTTGAGGAAGTGAAGCACGTAATTGTCAGCCTTTGTGAATCAAGCCAGTGGTATCTAAGGCCAAGAGATAGTGGAACCACCCCATTGTTTTTGTGTCAAGCTTTTTGGTTTCCGATTTGGAAAGTAGATGCGTCAAGTAGGAAATACACAGCCAGAAAAAGACCGGATGCAAGAAGAAAATGTTTCAAAATTAAAGCTCACCTAAAATGTTCAGACTGTTTTGGTGAATGTATGTTGTGTGTTTTGTCCTGCCCTTTTTAAATCACTGAAGCTAAGTGAAAATAAACTTATTGATAGATGAGTCAATTCAAAACTAGTTTTATAGCCTCCTTATTGAAGCACAAACATACATTATATATGTCTATGAATATTATTATTATTTAATGTCTCCCTGCAATCAATAATGCATTTTGCCCATTTTTACCACACTTGGACCTTTGACCTTCTCTCAGCAGAATAATGTACACGCAACGTTTGAAACAAACTAAAAGGTTGTTTTCACTTTTGTATGCTAAAGGGAACCCATTTTCCTTCGAGTTCGAGGCACGTATATAATCATATCATATTTTATTAAACACAAATAGTTGAGCAGCCAATAAAAGTCCAATTTAAATACACAAGCGTAATTAAAATGTTTGAATCCTACAGTGAACATACACCAAGAAAGGACTTGTATCTATCTATACGATTGATTCTTTTGGAGGAATATAATATAATAAGGAACAAAGATTTGGTACAGCTTTTAATATAGTGTAGGCCATTTTTGGGTGGAAAAGCCATCACACACTCATTATTATTCCAAGCAGATTATAGTTTAAAATGTCATATAATTTGTCTGGAAGCTATTGGAGTCTTATTTTGAAGGGTCCCACCGGAAGTCCTCTGTATCACAGATACATCTTGACGGCAGTTCATGAGAGATGGTCAGTCTGTCTGTTTCGGGGGCTGGGTTTGTCTTTTACCCAAGAAGAGGAAAAAAAGTTTAAAGCATGACGAGACAAAGACACTGACTGAAAGCAGACAAATAATGATTTAAAAACCACCACAACTCACCATGGCCATAAGGGAGCTCAAAGTTTGCCTTTTAGGGGTAAGTGGAAGATGTTTTTTGTTGATACACTTTGAGGGAAAACTCCTTCGCAAACTGTTGTTAAGCTAGTTGACTGAAAACCAGGGCGCAGCAGTCATTTTACATTTCCTTTTCATCGTCTCTTTTTTGTTACTTTTAATCGTCTAACTGTCGTTACCTGTTTGTTTTTGTCTTTATATTTTTAACGCCCGTTGACAGTTTATAGCCCATTACGTCATTGTCATACCAACCGTTACTAGCGAGCCGTTAGTTATATTTCCTGCTGCGTTAGCAAGACTGCAGTCAGTTTATAGACGGTGACAGGGATGTCCAGGCACTGTGTGTTGACTACAAAGTGGTCGTTTATCAATGTATTAAAGGAGAAATGAGAAGTTGTTACAGCTACAAAACCATTAAACAACTCAAACTAAAGCCCCTCTTTCAAGCCTCAAGAACCAGAATACCTTGATTCCTCCCACAGAGGGGACATGTACTGTACATTGTTACAGCAAGTTAAGAGCCACATATTATAGCTTAATATTAATTAAGAATCATGCATAACATACTAAAGATACAAGTAGGAATTTCCCATTTTACAAAATACACATCCAGTAACAGTTGTGAGATAGGCAGCCAGGTGATAGTATTAAAGGTGGAGGTATATAGTGCACAGTTATTTACAGATCTATTACAGAAGATGAATCGTCTAACTTAAGAGACAGCAGCCAATAATAATAATAATATTTATGTAGCCTTATATATTTTTTGCACAACAGGAGTGTTATAGTCTTTGTTGTTATCAGACCCTTCTCTCTGCTTCCAACACCATCAGCTAACTGTCATTTTTTAATTTTTTTGTAATACAGCTGATATTTTAATGGACCCAAGCCAGTGAAAGAATGAATCGCTCACATCATTCACTTTATTAGGACTACCACTTAGTGCCACTATAAGATGCACTTTCCCTCTTTATGTGTGTATGAATTGTATGTTGCACTGTGTATGGTGAGTGTTAATGTATCTATTTGCCAGTGCCAAAGACACATTTCCATTATATGTACATTTAATGGACAATAAAGTATTCTGAATCTGAATCAAACCTTTGGAGTCAGCCACAGGAACTGACAAGCTCAACAAGCATTTTAATTGAGGATCAATAAACTGTCCTCACCTTTATACAGTCTATGATCCTCACCAGTCTTTAGTTATCCCTCTGCATATATAGCAGATTGCATTCATGCTTTAACTATGTAAAGATAGAATTAGACGTATGCCTTGAAAAAAAAAGAGGTAATAGTTGAATACTAGAGTCTGAAGATACTACATTACAACTGAAAATCCTGAATTTAAGAAGTTTTATCAGCAAAAAGTTATTGCAAATCAAAATAAATCATTTACAAATACATGTAAGGGTACTTTAATGTTGTAATTCATTAACAGAGGGCCACGTTAAGACACTATACTGCTGGTTAGAGAAGTAGTACTGTAGGCCTCCTGGATCATATCATATCAGCATATCACATGTTGTAAATGTAAAGTTACTATAAGTATCACTTAAATGTATTGGAGTGAAAACTACAATATTTGCTTCTGAAATCGAGTGGATCAGAAGAAGCAGAACACAAAAATGATCAAGTATAAGTATGTCAACAGTGTACAACACGTATTAATGTTCTTGTAAGTCAGATTGAGTGTCAATTGAGAGATATTTGTGGATTCGTGCCCTAACAGGAATCTATGTGATGGGCTGAGCATGTGACCAGACCTGATCAATGTGGTTCAATAATGACCAGTGACTCTCTCTGTGTGTGTGTGTGTGTGTGTCAGGAGTGCTGTGTGTGACTGATTTGTGACCCTCTGTTTTCAGGACACTGGAGTTGGGAAATCTAGCATAGTTTGCAGATTCGTTCAGGACCATTTTGACCACAACATAAGTCCCACAATAGGGTAAGAGCACTGCAGTACAAATCACAAAACACATGGTTAGAATAAAATCAAAACAACAATCCAATCAATCAAAACAACAAAAAGTCAGCTATGCTCCACATTTTTAAAGTTCCAAATTAGGTCAGGGTTTGATATCAAATCTAGTCCAAAGTCTAAATTAGCAACACTCAGTTTGACCATGTGAGGTGTAAAGTGACTTTTCTTTTTACAATAAATATAATTATAAATACGTATTTTCTATATTAATGATTGGGTCAGCTGACATGATGGAAATAGTATAACTGATATAGGAATAAAAAACAATCCTCGAGTCATTACCAAGAGTCATTTTTAAGCTAAACAGTTTGATTTAAAGCGAGGACAATAATAATTCTGACATCAGAAATTACCCCATCTTACAATTAAAATAAGTTTCATTGCCATGTAGGTTTTTACATATAAGGTATTTGATTTGATGAATTGGAGTACAGTCTAAAGACATACATATTAAAACACTATATACTATAACATATTTAATAATAATGTCCATGTTCATTTCCTAGAATATGTTTAAATACCTCATCTCCCAAAAGCAAAGCAGAAAATATTCCTGAGTCTATGAAACACTAATGGTTTATGGATATTTTTGATACGTTGTTTAAGTGTCAATTATCAGATGTTTAAAGCCAAGTGGAATTTGGTAAAATTCCCAAACTCGCATGAATACAAAACCACGAGACAAATACCAATTGTGAACACACTAACAAAAGGATAACATTTCACAAACCGTGAGACTGGTAACATTTGGCTGAGATAAGTTCAGAGGAATTTATCACAAACCATGATGTCAAATCTATACAAGCGTTAGCCTACAGTCATCACTGATTATTGTACTGGCTCTTTGTTGTTCCGTGGTTGTTTTGTACTGCCTGTGACCACACACTGCCTTTGTGCTTTCAGGCAACAAGCGTTCAGTGTCCACCATCTTTATTCTCAGTGTTATTTGTTTACTGCTGACATGTACAGATTAGCTTCCTGTGCCTTTTAAATAACATGTGTGGAAACAACGTTGTGAAATGTTTTTTATATCTCCCACAGAGCATCATTCCTAACCAAAACAGTGCCATCTGGGAATGAACTACACAAGTTTCTGATCTGGGATACAGCCGGACAGGAAAGGGTGAGTGCTCACACAACAGAAGTTCCTAATTCAATTATTATTAGCTTTAGTTTTTACACATGACAGGACTTTTAAAACATCATTTTCCTTTTAAACGGTTTATTAGGAAGCTATCAGTGACACAATCATTTATCTGTCAGTGGTCCCCATGACATAGAGTTATTATTAGGTGTAAAAAGGGATGATTATATGGGTTCAGAGCTCATGACACTACAGTATCATCACTGTGATTCATTTTATGGAGGCAGTAGTTAAAACAAGCGAGAAATGCTTACAGCATGGAAAAACTATTAATTTCCTCTTTTATGTGAAAAGGATAACTTGAAAATATTACCAGAGTTCAAAGTTCTCTTTATCTTAAGACTAATATTATTAAACATGTGACTATCTGTATGATCCTTGGTGAACAAAAACATAACATACATTTAAGGAATATTCATTATTTGAGAAAATCCTGTCACTACACTTGAACATCACCAAATGTCCTTTCTCTAATCTCTGTCTTCAATCAAAAATACACTAAAACAACTTCACACAATCTCTGTACATGTGTTGCTTAAAGTGGACCTATCATGCTATATTTGAATAATATAGTGTTGGACCATACTTATTTTTTTTTTTTCAAAATACCAAACAGATCATGCGTTTTAGCCATGCCTCATTTTGCTCAATTTGACAATTTCTAGCT